ATTTAAATATTAAGTGAGAGTGTAAGTGGGAGAGGTTATGTCCAAAAAATGTAAAACAGTGTTCAAACAGTAAAGTCTGGGAAATGCTGAACTAGATTACAAATGAAGTACTTTAATTTTGAAGTTATATAAATCAAAGTTCAGGGGCTGGGGATTTAGCTCAGTGGTTTTGCCGCCTGCTGCGCAAGTGCAAGGACTCAAGTTCGATCCCTGGTACCAAAAAAAAAAAAAAATCAAAGTTCAGTGCATAATGTTGTTCTCTACAGAGGTTTGTGAAAGATATCTCTATTGGTCTCAGCATTTAAAAATTTACAACTTACCAGGTATGGTAGCACTCACTCGTGATCCCAGCACTTCGGAGGCTGAGGCAAGAGGATTGTCCCAAATTCAAGGCCAGCCTGGGCTATATTGTGAGTTCAACACCAGTCTGAACTCCATAGTGAGACCTTATCTAAAAAAACAAACAAACAAAAAACTTATTACATATTCAATTAGCAATTCAATTACAATTCAACTAGCAGTAAAACTGTTGTGAAAAGTTGCTCAAATTAACTTCAGATAAATAATAGAAATGCGCAAGTTTGTATTTTGAATGGGAGGGGAGCTATTTTTTTATACCACGTCTCATTTGTAACCATTTATTTAAAGTTACCATATGTGCTTATTCCAGAAATAGACTTAAAATTTAGTACAATATACTCTTCATACCTAAAAATAATATTAATTACATTTAATCAGTCAGTAAAATGGTACCTTGAGGAAGACAAAATAAACTAGGTAAATAAAAAGCATACTGTGTAGCTGCTGTACCAATCAGGCTCTCCTGAGAAACACAATAAGGGAAGCATGAGTTTGTACATACTAGGAGATCTACTTTAAGGAATTGGCTAATGCAATTGTCAAAGCCACCTTGTCAAACACAGACTGAAGTTACTACTAAAAATTTAAGTGAAGTCTGTACCACAGATCATCAGACTAGAAAATTAAGAGAAAATTTCTACTTTCCAATCTTGATGCAGAATTATTTCTTCTTTGGGAAACATCAGTTTTTGTTCTTAAGACTTTTGAATTGATTAGATGAGGCCCAGCCTCATTATCAAGGGTAATTGTAGGGATTATTTAGAACAAATATATAGACGTTCCTTTCAACTTGACAAAAGTTATTTTGACATTAATGCAATCAGTATTACTCTGGCTTGTGGAAAAAAGTGTTCTGAAATTTTTCAGGATTTCTCCCTTAAGCAAAGCCTTCTCATTAATATAATATGAGCAGAATTTGTACTTTGGTAAAAAGCTCATTTTATTCCAACACTGGAACATATTTGCTCATTACAACCACAACCTCTACACAACTGAGAAATTTTAAAAGGTCGTACTACTTGAGATGGATTATATTATACATTTTCTAATTTATCTTTATTTCTAATTTATAATCCAAGTTTTGAGAGGTTTTTGTATTATATTTGAAAATATATACAATGCATTTATAAATTTCATAATCATTTTGAAATAATTTTTCAAAATTAAAATATTTTATGCATGCAATGTGTACCTATTTCATTTTAGAAAATACTAGGTTTTTTGGTAAAAATACTAAAATTTAAATTATACTCATGTAAAATCCAGACACCAAGTAAAAATATCAAAAATACCCTCTTTTAAAAGTTTGTTGTCATTTGTTTACATGATTTCAGATATTTCTGATGAAAATATGCAAATAAATCTTACACATTGCATTTATTTATGGCTAGATGGGTAAATGAATGAATAGGTAGTGAAGAAACAGAAAAAGAAAACCCCAAGAAGATAGTCAAATAGACAAAGATGTGATTATAAACAGGAAGAGATACAGTATACTTAATTTTACTAACATTACATTATTCATTGTTGGACTATATCTGGTAAATGAGACCTGTAACTGATTTAGGCAAGAAAGGCAAGTCCTGAGAATCACACAGCTGCTTACATATGTCTCAGATGCATAACTTGTCTCCCTGGCAAACAAAAAATATTAAAAGAATTTATCAGTGGAGAAAGGGGGAGAATACTGTAAGTGTTCTGCAATTTTGTTGAATTGAAGTTTTCACACTTCAGATGACCTCTAGAACTGACTTACCCAGGATCACTGCTGTAAGTACATTCAATAGTATACAATTGTCAGAAAAGCCTTGGAATTCAGGATTGTTACTGTATTTCTGAGCATATATGTTTGATCTTTGAACAATCAACTCATCAGGTGAGAATTTCCTCAGCTTCAAGATGAGGATTACTAGAAGGCTAAATTACATAACACACCCAATGTCTGGAAGATTAAAAAAAATACCTATCACTTAAAAGAGTTCTAGGGATGACCTGAGCCAATATATCTTTATTACTTAATCTGAGAAATACCTTCAGATAAAGTTCAATTATATACTTAAAATTGTAGGCTCCATTCTCAATGCAGTTTGAATTATGAATCAAGTAAGCATCATGAATAATTCCTACTAAAATAGATTCATTTCTCTTCCACATTGGAAATCAAGAAGTATTTGTAAAAACAGGCAAAACCTTGGGATCCTATAATTAGAAAGTAACTATGTTTTAAATTGCTTTATACAAGTTCATTATTTAACATCATATGGAACATTTGTAAGAAAATTCCTTTGGCTGTACTGGCATTTTGCAAATATATTAGCAAATGTCAGCAATTTGTATGTTAGAACTATCCTCTTTTAGTTAGAATTTCAAATAGTTTGGTTACAACATTACACTCTGTGTATTCTGCAAAGACTTGGTATAAATGGTTTAAATATTATTTACAGTTTGCAAAGTATTTTAACAATCTGTGCTAAGCTTGAGTTAATACTGAGACCTGAGAAGTTGTAGACATTAGAACATTATCCACAAATGAACAAAAAGAGAAAATACAAGATTCTTTTCACTCTGGATCATAACATTATTCCCCTTCCCATCCCAATTGACAATTCACGTAAAGACACTGAAAAACCCTTCTAAGTATCACATCTCTACTCTCTATTCTGCCTTCTGGAAATCCAGAGGAAGGAGCTCACTACCTGTGATGACTCTAACAGAAAGGACTAAACCATTGTAATGTGCCAAAGGAAAGAAAGGGAACTGGCATTTACTAAAAAGCTAAGGTGTACTCCAGCCAAGTTCTTTATCTTCACAATTTTGGATAATCTTTATCAACATATTATGAATCTCTCCAAAGTACAAATGAATAAAGAAAGCATTGCAAAAATTGAGATTTTCACAGAGATCAAACACAAGTAATTTCTGGCCTTGGATCAGCACTCAAGTTTAATTATATCTAAATGAACATTATGTATGTTTCATTATATCAGAATAGATTTCATAATCACTTTGAATTGATTTTATCTATACAGTGTGAACCCAGTGTATTTGTCAAAAAATAATTGCTGTATTGTTTTTAAAAATGTTAAAATAAAAAAATCATAATCATGCAAAATTGAAACAATACATCAAACTGCCTTTCTGACTATATTGCTCTGACTCTGTAATAGGAAATAATACCCACAAAATTTCTATGGCTATCTTTCACAATAAATAATTAAGAAAATAATTAACCAAATGTTTTTATCGCAGTTAATTATTCATGTAGTCAAAATTTAATTTCAGATTGTATATGCCTGTCTTAGTTACTTTTTTCCCATTGCTGAGACAAAATACCCAACACCCAAAGTTAAGGGGGGAAAGGTTTATTTAGTTCACAGTTTGTAGAGGTTTTAGTCCATAATTAGCTGGCTCCAAAGCAGGCTGGCACATGGCAGACAGGTCCTGCAGGAGAGAAACAATTCATGGTGGCCAGAAGGTAGCAAAAATAAGGGCCCTTAACAGCATCTTTCTGCTCCTTTTATCTTATCCAGGCTACTCAGAGTGGGTAGCACTCCTCTCACCCTTAATCCTAGTGCCCTGGAGCCCTGCATTGCACCATGAATCAATTTCAGCATCACACACTGTAGATCCAGCCACCTCTGAAGGAGCCATGCCTATGACCACATCAGGCTTTGGGGGGACACCTAAACCACACAAGCCATAACACTACTCTTCCTTTCAGACTCTAAACAGACAATCCTCATGAAATTAGGGAATGTCTTTCTGTATGTGTTATATCACCTGTTCTGAGTAGTCCTTGGAATGGAGTTTTGTTAAGACAAATACACAGTAAATAGATACAAAGCATTGAGGACATGGCAGCCATGTGTCCCATCTGGACATGAGTTAAAATCTCT